CCATTTCGTGCAAGCTTGATTGCTCCTATGGTTATCTCATAGACTGTTGCAGTTGAATTTATCCCCTTGTATGGACAGAACTGAGATGTTAGGTGTTGACACTTACTTCAGGTCCCATGAGACCTCCTGGTTATCCTTTGTGCTTTTGGCAGCCTGGCAGCCAAGTCATCTGGCATACCTGATGAGCTTTCAAGTTCCAGGCTGAAGAACACGAAGGGAACATGTAGCAGAAACAGCTAGAACTGAAGAGCAGTGGAAAGAACAGCACTATGTTGGAATAAGTTGACTTTCTTTATTTCAGTGTAATTTGTGTGATGCAGGCTCCATGCCAACTGATAATATCTTGCTGAATGGAGCAGAAAAAATAATCTAGTCCTTGTATCTCCTAGGGAAGTTTTATAGGAATTTGCACTTCAAAATGAAATTTGGCTGTAGCTGCTGATACCTGTGCCTGAAGTTTAAATACATTATATGTATTAATATGCTTGCTTTCTAAATACATTTTCGCCTATTTTAATAGATGGACCAAGTGACCAGTATCAATTGAATTGGTGGTGAATTTACATTAAAGTGTTTTATAATTTGCCCTGGGAAATTTGTTAATTCCTCAGACTGTTTAAAGAGAGTTATTCCTAGAGCGAGGAATGAATGTGTTCCGACACATTCCTACTTAGCAATCCCAGCCTCCTTATGCCTAAATCAAACATGTGACAGAGGAGCATCACTGGAGACAGAATGCTCTTCAACAAATCTTGGAAAATAACTCATTCATTACCCTACCATGTGTCCCTGTTAGTAACATCACACAGGCAGTCTCATCAGGAGTGGTAAAATGTATTGGAGAACTGAGTTGCCTGAGGTATGTACATGGTGTCTTCTGTGATACTTAAAGGTGAGGTGTTAAGAGTTCCATTAGGGATATAAATCAATTTAAATAGTGTGGATTAGGCAAAAGCAATCATCTGGCAAGCTGAATAGAAAAGGAGGATTTCATTGCAAGCATGGGGAATATCTAGGTCCAGAAGAGTTATCTATGAGATTTATGCAGTTAATCTTAATTGTAGCTGGTTAGGTATGGGCTGGGCCATGGGAAATTCACTGTTCTTGGGAATTCAGCCTCCTTGTAGTAAGTAAGTAGTAAGTAATGGTTCCCTGACCTTAATACGCTTCCAGGATGTTCTCAGGTTCTTCTGTAAGCCTAATTTGCCATGTCTTTACTTCTTAATCCCTACAGTGACATTTTGTAAAAAAAATTGGGCACTAAAAGCGTGAAGCTATGAAGTTGGAATGATGTACCCTGTAAGAAAGTGGTTGATATCTGGGATGCTATGAATTTGGTTAATAAGACTGGAAAATCATTTTATTGTTTAGTATGTGTTATGTTACCTAAGGAATTTAAGTATATGGTGTATTCAGATTCCTAGAAGAAATAGCATGTGATAGGATACTCTGAGACAGCATCCTCCAATGCTGTAGTGTGAGTGTGGTCTTTGCTCTAAAAGTCACAGAGGCATTTGAGCCTTAAACAGACATAGCAGTAACTAAAGCTCTGCGGCGTATAAGCACTGTTTTCATTAAAAAGATACAAAAACCTTACAAGGTGGAGGGAAGGAAAAGTGGCACACACCTGCAGACTTAGTGTTGTGTCACTTGTAAAATGTTTATGGCCGAATAGTTCATATATATCCTTTTATTGTCTGGGAGGGAAAGTTATTTTGCAGAAACCGTAGAAAGCAGGAAGACAGTAAATAAGTCCTGTTTCATGGAATGCCTTTGAAAAATGGCCACCCTATATTTATAACGATAGCTACTTCCTTCCTTCCGGTGCCTGCTGTTTTTTATTCATGAAAGCTTATAAAATACCACTTAAAAATGAACTTGCAGTATATGATAAAGACCTGAAATCAGAGACATTGGAAGGAACCCGTGAATTGCTGTGACAGATTTAAGAAAAGGTCTATCACAGTGTCCTGATTCTGGCCAGGATAGGGCTAATTTCTGCAGCAACCGGGAGGGGTTATGGCAAGGACCCACAGGTTATTCTGTACTACCTCGTGTCATTGCTGGTGAAGGGGGAAGGGAGTCTCTTCCAGGGAGAAGAAGTCCCTTCTAGTTGGGATAGCATGGCAGAAGGAGTGGTTGGGTGGTGGTGTTTCTGTATGAATCGCTCGCCTCTTTCTTGTGCCCTCTGTCAGTAGTAATGTTGCTATAACTGTTCATTTTCTTATTGCTGTTTCCAGTAAATTGTTCTCATGTCAGCCTGTGATTTGTGCCTCAAATCTTCCTCTCCAGCCTGCCACAGGGGAGTGGTGGGAGGACAAGGGAGTGAGTGAGCAGGTTTCAGTGGGAGCACTGAAGTGGAGATACCTTCCTAAACTATGACATAGTAATTTTTTAATAATGGTAGTTAGTAGCATTACTTAGGGAGGGTGCGGTTCAGACACCTGTACTTAAGGTTTGGGGCTGTCTCCGCTGGAGATTGTGGATGTAGGACCTGGTTGCAAACTAAGTAACCTCTGAGTTTGCTTACTTTATATTTGTACAGTTTGGTTTTTTTTTTTTGGTGTTTGTAACTTCTGAATGTGTATCCCACAAAATAATTCCTTTTGCTCATTTTAAATGTCCTGTCTGAAATATTTGTTAAGTACTTGCATCACTATTTTTCTTGTTGGAAGTCCAAGTATAATTATTCCTTTTCTGAAACCTCTTTCATATTTTTGATCATCTTTCATCAAACTCCTTTGGGATGAATTCTTCTGGTGTCAGTACCATTGGTTTCATTCTTAATCTTTTGCATACAGTTTTCAGAGGGTAAAAATTAAAATCCCCAAATACATGTAATAGATGTTTGAGGTTCTGAATGATTATTTTTCTCGTACTGAAAGATGTTAGAATTCTGTTTATCCTTCTTTTGCAATGTGCAGTTAGCACCTCACTTAGGCATTTTTCTCCTTCGTTAACCTTTGAATATCAAAAGTGGTATTTTCAGAGGTTGGGCAAGATGCTTGAAGTATGAGTTGTAGCTGCTGTTTGCTCCTCCTCACCCTTCTGTTTTGCTGTGTGAATTGGGAAAAGATGTAGAAAGAGCTCTCAGTGAAGGATAAAGTAGCCAACACTAGGAATTAATACAAACAATGAGAGCTGTGAGATGAAAGGAGAAACTCTGTGCTCTGGAAATAGGAAGGAGAAAATATTGGAAATGAAGGAAAAATGCACTGGAAAGTAGAAAAGGAAGAGAGAAGGGTTATTGGTTCTTCTAAAAATGAAAATGCCCACAAGTAAAAGAGTTCTCCAGGTTTTCAGGGTATGTCGAATGGAACATTTTGGAAGTGACAAGTTGCAGGTTGCTTCATAACTTTGGAAAAATTTTTGGCAGAGTTGAAATCTTTATGTGGGTTAGAATTACTATCCTTCTACCTAATATGTCTTCACTGTATCTGTTGTTTTCTCTAAATGGATAGGTTTGTTTTCTATTAAGATATTGGTTCTGTAGTTCAGTTACACAAAACAACACATAAATACCATTAACAATACTACTACTGGAATAAATGAATAGAAATTACAAAATTAATTGGATGTAGCTACCACATTCAAACATGTTGTAATACACCTAGAAGGATCCTTTGTGCGGGCAGAAGAGTGAAGACCTGATAGCAATGACTTTTGTTTTCATTTACTTTAAGGTTATTCCTCATTTATTTATCTCTTTGACACTGTGTGAGATCCTGTTTATTAAGAATAATGCCTGGAAGTTGGCCGTTATATTCTGTATGAGTGTGTTAATTTCTTCCCATATGCTACGAGGTTGTCCTTACAGGAAATAAAGGGATCTTTTCCCATGTTTAGTTATACTGAACTGTTACAATAGTCAGACCGGACAGAAAGGGAAGGAAAGTTTCCTGTTTTCTGCAGATACTGAAGAGGTCTTCGGCCTTTACCAGCGAAGGTAAAGCTTTCTGCAGCCCAAGTGTGAGTGCACAGAGAACTGGTTTTCATTACTGTATGGAGATGCTGTGATCTCTATCGAAAAGCAGTGCTTCACTCTCTTAAATGTGTTACAGACCATTTGCTGTCTGTTCTACCTATCCTGATTACATCTCAGTATTTGCATTTAGAAATAGTAAATTACAGCAGGGAAAGCTTAAAGTTGCCCCTTTATGAACACTCAGATATATTGTGCTGTGCTTAGAATGCTTTTGGATGGGTGATGAAATAAAGTTTGGGCCTCAAATGGACAGCAGAGAAGAATAGGACGTCCTCAAAAGGAAAGCAGAAGAGAATACAAATATAGTAGATTGGAAAACTTTTCATAATAGTAAGGATATTTGAATTGCAAAAAAGAATTGTGCTTTTTTTTTACTCTATGAGGCCAGGAAAAAATCGAGGAAGGCTGGTAAGTCATTGTCTCAGCAAATACAGTGGTGAAATTTTCATGTGAAGCTGAGAACAAGTTGCACTGATCCTGCTACAGTATAAGTTTTGGTTTTCCATAGGTAGGGAAAGACAAAGAATCTGACTGCTCTCCTGCAGAAAACCCACTGCAAAAACCTTTAAAGTCATGATTCAGCCTGTAAGTTCAAAAGAGATTGCTTGTCATTAAATTTCATATACATATATTAAAGAACATGCCCATCAGTTATTGGAGATGACCTTCAGCCACGGATAATAATTATTTTAATGGGAACATATGAAAATAAAAGTTTTAACAGGAGCTGCACTACTGCTACAATTAATTCATAATTTCATTCAGTAGATCAAGTGAAGAAACTTTTGCCAAGCTAAACCCCATTTTTTTTAAAAATAGATTTGTATTTCATAATACAACAACTTACCATCTGCTATACTATCAATTTTTAAGTAATTAAGTTCACTACTTACTACTTAATCTCATTAAGTTCACTACTTACTACTTAATCTCATTAAGTTCTTAACTTGGATTTTGTAATGCAGTTTTCAATGTACAATCCAGTAAAACATAGGCCTTCCAAATTCATTTGCAGGACACTTCTTCACTGAGAAGTTCTTTTGATAATGGGATCCTTCCACGCACTTTCTTGGGTCTGAGTCAAAGTTTTCAGGTGAATTGGTAAAAAGGAATTGCCTTTTATCTTCCAAAGCTTCTCTTGTTTTTCTGTCAAAGAAAACCTCTGTATACTTTGGATACAAATAGCACTTTAAAATGGTTATCAATGCAGTGTTGCATAAAATCATCAGTTGTCCTGACATTTAAACTGATTTTATGTAGATTACTATATGGGATGCGTAAGCAAGTGTTATTTTCTGCTGGGGAATTGCTGTATCATGAAAAATGAAGTTAATTTGGGCATCCTGTGAAAAATGTATGCTGGGAATACACTGGATTAATTATTTTTCATCTGCATTACAGCAGAGTCCAGCACACAAAGTAGCAATTTTTGCACTTGTAGCTTTTGTTAATAAAAAAAATCAATAGCGAGATTTGGACCAAATGGTATTACACTATAAAAAAACCCCTAAATATGACCACCATGACTACTATTATGCATTCGCATATTGTGCATCTTTGTACTGAAAAATTCTCCATCGTTACTTGCCCAGTGCAATTTGGCATTTGAGTGCAAGAACTGTTAGATATAAACCAGGACTTTGGCAAAATGTTATTTTGTGTCTAAAGTGTTTTGTTCTTTGTATGCTGTTGTCTGCTGTAATGTACCATGGCAATAAAGGCTGTAATGGCTATTCCATTCCTTTTCCTGTTGTTTTGCAGCCACCAAACAGTTCTGGGATAGTGCAGTGCTCTGAGTTTCCTATTTATTTCTAAACCCTTTAATTTCAAAGAGTAAATGTGTTTCATATTCTGGCTGGTGGTAATGAATAAAGCATTCACCATAGTTATCCCACAGACTTCCAAAAGGAATTTACCACTATATCACAGCAATTCTGGTTATTGACCCTTTATTCTTCCATTTATGCAAATTTGTTGATGTGGTTTTGTCTTGCAGGAGATGGTGTTGTTAT